TTCTGGATCATCTGCCAAGAACGTATATGAACAGGTCGCAGTCCGAGAAAAGGATGGAAGGATCGTGTTCATATGGACCTGTCGTCAGACAGAACACTAAATAAATATAATCCTGATAAGAGCTGATCAACTTGTGAACGCATTTCACTGCAGATGATTATGAAAACTAAAGTTTGTTGCATCGTAATTTTCTTTAAGGCGTGTGATATTTGTCCTAGAGAGCTCCTTTAAAGAAATGTAGAGCTCATTATTAGGACAACCTTACACTCGCCGTGGTCATGTCGGCTTTGCTGGTTCGACTTGAAGTCTCAGCCCGGAGACCGAGTGTCTCCGGATGACTGACGTTCTGCAGGCCACACTTGCTTCTTTCTAGATATTTTACGACCAGTCATTCACTAATCATCCTGCCGTTCAGAAACTGGAGCTCTGTTAAATAATTCGTGGATAAATCGCCGTCTTTTGCGACATCAGCAAACCTTTTATAGTGTCGTATTTGCAGTCGCCTCTCGCCTCACCGGGCAATCGCGCGCTCTTTCTGATGGCGTAAAAGTTTAACTTCTGCGATCAACGAAGCTTTACAAGAGCAGCCTTGTCACGTGATTGGAAGCCCGTTGTTCTGACAAGTGCATTCCGGTGGACCACTTCCCATATTGAAGTTGTAGACCAAACAGCCGAGTAATCCCTGTGTTGTAATTAATTGTGTTCGTTTTTGAACCTTGTCTCGTGTCTCCATCATCTGTTTTGCATGTGACGCTGCTCGTCAGGAAACCAATTACGTGCTCCGTCGGTTGTCCTGATTTCATTACCGGCAATTTCTGTAGTAATCAAATGTAACCGTTTGTACGTTGAAAATTTGACCTGGCAGCTGAAAGGTGTTCGGACTGTGACCCGTAACCTGTTTGATATTTATTTTTGACATAATCATACCACGGGTGTAACTACTTAAAAGAAATAATGTATTTTCAATTGCAAACGCATTCTTTAGAAAATCGTGAACTTGAGACACGTGGAGGCGCGTACGTCTGACCCTCTCTCCCCCCCCCCCCCTCTCTCAC